AGGGTTGTGGAAGGCCCTAGGTTCCACCAGGAGGACTTGCCCAGGCCTTGCACTTGCCTAGGGCCTTGGAGGGTCGCAAGCCTGGGCCTTACCTGGTCCCTGCTGCTCTGGAGTGGCTCATGGAAAATCCGGCCCCCATAGAAGGCTCCCCAAACCTCTCTGAGTGGACTGGGCCCAAGCTGTCTGTCATCCTGGCAGGTAGCACGAGACCATTAACACTAACAATAATAGTAACGCCATCGTCATCGCCCTTAGCGGTAGCCAACAGCCTGGGTGACCACGCTGGACTGAACCACGTAATTATCAGCCACTTTAATGAATATTATTACAAGTCAGGCGACTGCACGATTGGCCTTTGATTTTCTATGGGCATGCAGCATAAATATGATGCAGTATTTGAGATCAGTAATATCTAGCGAGGCGCACCCGGAATGGCTCACAGACCCATGAGCAAGAACTTCCAGTGTGTGCTGAGGCCTGCCAGCCCTGGCGTGCAGGGCCAGAACGCGCTGCCACTCTCGTGCCTGCCCCTTCCCACCGGGCCTCCCTACTGGAGACCTGGAGAGGGCTGAGCTCACCGCCAGGATGGGACCGTGTGGCTTCCGGCTCCCCCAGGCCGGGCGTGCGGCTCAGCGTGTGCGAAGGAGGCATCAGGAAGGGCGATCGGTCTACCCAGAGGCGGGTTCCTGCCCCGCCCAGCGAATCTGCGCCTTCGGAATTGCGCGCGACCCTTTGTGGTCCTTCGCTATTAACCTCCCAGCGCGCGGCGACTCCGCCTAGCAGGCTGCAGCTTTCGGCCGAGCCGGGACCCTCCTGGCGGCGCTTGCGGAGCGCCGAGGCGAGTGGAGACCGCGGAGGTCGGATATTAAAGCAGCGGGAGGCAGAATGACTTTTAGCAGAGCCCCAGCGAGCGAACGGTGCCTCCTAGCCGGCCCTGGGCGGCCCGCGCACGCATTTGCATATATAGTGTCTGCCTGTTTGTACGCGCAGCACGCCCGGGCACACCTGTGCCGCGCGCCAGGGGCCCCCAACGATTTGCAAAAACGCCGTAGCGGGCCCCCAACGATTTGCAAAACCGCCGTAGCCCCCTTCTCAGTCAGGCTGGGGTCCCCCGCATGGCTCCTCGCTTGTCTCCCTGGAACGCTTAAGGTGGTGGGTCCACCCTGGAGACTTGGGGCCTGTGTTGAATGGCGGATCCCGACTCAGGCCTGGGGGTCAGACCGACCTCGCCCGACACTTGCTGGCGGAGCTTGGGGACAGCCAGGGAAGAAAGGGCCTTTGAGCACCAGGAAGTCCTAGTAGGCCAGACTTCTCGGTCCAGAACCCTTGCAGGGGCTCCTTCTCCGTAGGCCTGGGGGATGTGGCGGGTGGTCCTGGGCCGGAACTGGGACCCCCCTGGGCTTTGGAAGGTGGTGACTCAGCCTCGCCTCCCTGAGCAGGGATGAGGCAGGCCTTGGCGGGGAGGCGTGAGT